ATCATTGAAAGCTTTCCGAAAGATAACTCGGACAATAATATTGAAACATAACATTGAAATTATTCAGAAGTATTTCTGAAACGTTTCATCGAAATCACCCAGTAAGCAAGGAACATTAAATTAACGTTTAGAAATATTGACTTTATGTGTATTTTTTAAACGTTTTTTAATAATATTATACACATATTTGAAAAATATTATTTCGTAATATGATTTTTCTGAATGTTGTTAAAATATTTTGAAAACGTTACAGAAAATATTTTTCAAATGTTACTCTGACATTTATTTGAGATCAATGCAACAGTTCAAAATTCCTTGTAATTTGGACTCAGAAATAACGTTGGTAGTATATTAATTTTCTGTTGTTATAATGTTATCGTTTTATATTGTGCGCAACGCTCATCGCGACAGCCATGATGTACAGGATTATCCTACATACGATGCGTGAGTGCGTATACACGTGTGTCAATCGAGGAGTGCGGAGTGCTCTTTATTTACAGCATAATTATATATAAGTAGTAACTATTATATTCTAAAAGTTGTATATTAATGATAAAAATTCAATTAACCATATACGTGCTATAATTATTTGTGCTATGAATAGTAGCTGGTGATGTAGGATTCATTTTCCGATTTACAAGAGAGATTTACAAAAGAGAGGAAATATCAATTAATTTTTTTACGTTCTATAATAGATTTGTCCTTGGACATTAAAAATATCATCAAGGTTCGTCAATGCTATTATTTCAATGGTACCAAACAGTGTAACTTCCTATAAAATAACCTCAAAATTTAGCAAAATATGTAAATGATAACGTATAAATAAGCTGGTACACTATGTATGAAGACGGTTTGTTGAAGTATTGTGCGGCTTTAATACATCATTGTTTGCATATATCACTGTAAAAGTAATTTAGTATAAAATTGGTATAAAGTTGATAGATATGTAACAAACGATCAGTACAAACAAGACCAAAACTGACTTTTTATTTATTTCTATATTTTTTTCACATATATGTGCTATAATCACACTCTAAAGTATATAAATAGATTATTGTAAGCATATTTTATATGTACAGGGCAATGAATATGTCTTAACATATGGGATCAATTGTTGTATCAAATTCAAAAAACCACCATTTGAAAAATTTGACCCTGGCTAAGATAAACATCAGTGAACAATATATTATAAGGAAAACTCTGTACAAGATACTAGAAATGCTAAAAGATGACCAAGAAGCTTTTACACAAGTCGTAAATAAAGCTGCTTATTATAATTAAATTATGTATATATTAAATTGCAACCTTTTTCTTATCTAAACTATATTGAATTCTTCTTGTTTTAGAGGCTATTAGACAACAATCCCTTGTAATACAGAGAAAGACTTGGAACACTCTATAATGGAGTAGCTTAGATTTGCAAACATCCGTAAACAAAGGAAAAAATCTTAAAAGGTAAAAAAGTAATATAATGTATACATTATGTCTGTTAAGTTAGCACCCTCCATAAAAAACCGGAATAACACATGTGCAGAAATTAAGTGCTCTTTATGCGTTAATTATGTGCTCTATTCACGATTTTTGTGCTCGAGCGGTTTCGTGGGAAATTGCAATTGAAACTGAGGGTGCTGGCTTAAAGTAAGCTAGCATCCCCACTCATTAAAATTACATATAAAATAAAAAACTCAATATGCTAGAATTATATGCTTTTTATGTGCTTTCAAATGCCTTAAACAAAATTAGTCTATCTGTAATAGTTTAAAAAATATACGCAAAAAAAGATATATATACTACTGATATAAGAATAAAGTATCAGTTAAAATAGAGAAAGCGAAATAATTCTTGTCTTAAAATGTTTCTCGATTAATGTGTTCTCGAAATATGCACAATGAAATTTTCGTGCTTATCCCCTTCGACCGACCTGAACGTGAGTACCTCATACGTACAAGAGTACCTAACCAGTTAAAATACAGGTAGCAAATTGGTTTTAGTCTTAAAATATTTCTCAATTTATGTGCTCCCGAAATATGCACAATGATTTTAAAAGCATAAAAATCACATTAATTTTTTTTGTTAATGTAATTTTTTGATACAAATTTTTTAAATAAACAATTATATATGTAATATCTAAATATTCTATTACCATATTCTTTTATACATCATAAAACAAATATATCCTTTAAGTATTAGTCACGCAATTGTAGCGTAAACTGTACTATCATTCATGTAATATTATCATGAAAAACAATACACAAGAGATTCTATATAAATACAAATTAAAGTTTACTAAAGAGTAACTAATTTTAAAAATTTCATTTTGTTTCTATTATTAGAAAGGGAATGTTAAAAATTAATTAAACATATGTTTACTTATATGTATTTATATATTGTTCAGAATCTCAGTGACCCGTTCTCCATAATATTTAGCAACTTTGCAATACTTACTCCTAACTCATATTAAATAACTTTAAAAATGTATACAAATACATATACAAATACATATAAATAAAAATTTTTCTGAAATCTTATTAAACAAGTTAATCAATACATTAACCAAAACAAAAATCTTATTCTGTTTATTTTGAAAACACATAAGTTGAGGAACATTTTAAGACTAAAACCAATTCGCTATCTATATTTTAACTGGTACTTTATTTTTATACGTATGGGGTGCTCACGTTTGGGTCGGCCGAAGGGGATGAGCAAAGAAATCTCATTGTGCATATTTTGAAAACACATAAATTGAGGAATATTTTAAGACTAAAACCAATTCGCTATCTGCATTTTAACTGGTACTTTACTCTTGTACGTATGGGGTGTTCACGTTCGGGTCGGTCGAAAAAGATGAGCACAGAAATCTCATTGTGCATATTTTGAAAGCACATAAATTGAGGAATATTTTAAGACTAAAACCAATTCGCTATCTGTATTTTAACTGGTACTTTACTCTTGTACGTATGGGGTGTTCACGTTCGGGTCGGTCGAAAAAGATGAGCACAGAAATCTCATTGTGCATATTTTGAAAGCACATAAATTGAGGAATATTTTAAGACTAAAACCAATTCGCTATCTGTATTTTAACTGGTACTTTACTCTTGTATGTATGGGGCGTTCACGTTCGGGTCGGTCAAAGGGGATAAGCACGAAAATTTCATTGTGCATATTTCGAGAACACATTAATCAAGAAACATTTTAAGACAAGAATTATTTTGCTTTCTGTATTTTAACTGATACTTTACTCTTATATCAGTAGTATATAGATCCTTTTTTTACGTATATCTTTTAAATTATTACAGATAAACTAATTTGGTTTGAGACATTTAAAAGCACATAAAAAGCACATAATTGTACTGTATTAAGTACTTTATTTTTTAATATAATTTTAATGAGTAGGGGTGCTAGCTTATGTTAAGCCAGCATCCCCACTTTTAATTGCAATTTTCCATGAAACCGTTCGAGCACAAAAAACGTGAATAGAACACATAATTAGCACATAAAGAGCATTTAATTTCTACATATGTGTTATTCTGCTTTTTTTGCGGAGGGGGAGGGGTGCTAACTTAACAGACATAATATATTTTGATACATAGACTAAATCACTGAAGATGTTACAAATATTTCTGAAGTTGAATGAGAAATTCTTATTTTTCAGCAACTGTTTGGTAAAGATCCGAAAAGATTAATAATCTGTTTAAAAGGAAAGAATAAGAGTTTGGAAAAAAATAGTAAAAGAGTTATATTAAACTAGAGCACCTGTATCGCATTGCCTAAAAAAGAATTAGAAGGCACCTTAATTTCCCTTATCCGAAGGTTGACTTCAATAATCCCTTCCTAGGATCCCTTCCTAGAATTAATACTTTCTAAGATAATTGGCAGAGATAATTTGCAGAAATAATTGGCACACGAAATAAATCTCATAATAAAACCTATATATGTATATGTATATGTATATATTTGTTCATATAAATAAAACTACTTTTTTATGGTAATTAGTGTAGTGCATTTTATTGAAAATAAATACATACTCCCTGAAATAAAAATAAAATATCAATAATAACTTTAAATAAACGTTAGAATTAATATTACGGTAATCTTAATATAATATTGTAATAAAGTTGATAGTTTGTTTAAATTTTTATCTCAAAAACGTTACAGGAATGATAGAAAAACCTTAGCAAAATGTTATTTGCAACGTTATGGCACTCCCATTTCAACATTACTGAAATTTCGGAATCGTGGTCAAAGTATATTCATAATTATGTTCTATACAACATTAAGAACTACATATTTAACAACATTACAAGTTCTAGAATATCGTTGCAATAACATTGTAATAATGATTTTTTGCTTACTGGGTATGTTTTACGAAGGACAGGAAATTGTTCCGGATGATCCTATACAGGGTGATCCGAAACAATTTGATATGAGAAAAAGTATCTGAAATATTTCAAAGATATTTTCGAAGCATTTCAGAGATATTTCTGAAGCATTTCAGAGACATTTATTAGGCATTTCAGAGGTATTTCTTAAGCATTTTAGAAATATTTCTAAAGCATTTCAGAATTATTTCAGAAATATTTCTGAGATTTCAGAAACATTTCTGAAATCTCAGCTTGGCGGACGTTTTAGCTTTCTGAAACATATCTGAAACATGTCTAAAATGTTTTTTTGAAAGATTTCATATTTCATTGACAGTTTTTTGAAAGCTTTCTGAAATATTTCGATGCTGTGTGGGGTACTCGTCCATGGACATATCGCCCATCGTGAGACACTGAACAGCGTCGATCAACGATCCAATCGTTTTAATCGTCACGCTTCCTTGCGATCTTGATCCACATTTCAGCCGAGTCAATGCATTCCGTCAGATCAATCGCGATATCCAAGTCCACGGTGTCGCCAATGATCGACATTGCATATAGGCATCCGCCTCTTCCCATTTCTTCACAACTTCTGCCGTTCCAGCCGGCCTCTTTTTCTCGCCGAGTGCGATCTTTAGAGTGTTATTTACTCGAAGATGATTCTGAATTTGGAACTTCCAGAGCCTATAATTACCTGGCCCTGTCAGAATCGTGATACGGGAAAGTCGGCCCGATTGACGCCATCGTTCTTTCTTATTATGAAAAGCTAAAAAAAAAACACGTTAGTTTCTTCCTGTTATCCGCTACTCAATCCGCAGTGGAAATCGAGCTGGGCCCATAACCT